AGAAAGGAGACAGAATGAAAGAGAAAGAGAATCAGAATGAGAGAACAAGGCAGAGAGAATGAAAGAGAGAAAGACAGAAAGGAGAGGGAGAGAGAAAGAGGGAAAAAAGAGGGAGAGTGAAAGAGACAGAATGAAAGAGAATCAAAATGAGAAAGAGGACAAGGGAGAGAGAATGGAAGAGAGAGAGAGAAAGAGGGAGAGGCAGATAGAAAGAGAGAGAGAGGGAGGGAGAGAGAGAAAGAGAGAGGGAGATAAAGAGGGACAGTGAAAGAGAGGGAGATAGAGAGACAGAATGAAAGAGAAAGAGAATCAGAATGAGAGAGCGAGGGAGAATGAAAGAAGAGGGAGAGGGAGAGAAAGAGGGAGAGACAGAATGAAAGAGAGAACAAGAGAGAGAGAATGAAAGAGAAAGAGAACGAGAGAGGGAGAGAAAAAAGAGGGATCGAGAAAGAGGGAGAGAAAGGAGAGGGAGAGACAGAATGAAAGAGAAAGAGACTGAGAGGGAGAATGAGGGAGAATGAATGAAAGAAAGAGAAAGAGGGAGAAAGAGGGAGTGGGAAAGTAAAAGAGAGAGAGAGACAGAATGAAAGAGAAACAGAAAGAATGAGAGGGAGAGGGAGAGAAAAGAGAGAGAGAACGAGGGAGAGAGGAAGAGAAGAGAGAAAGAGAATCAGAATGGGAAAGAACGAGAGAGAGAACGAAAGAGAGAAAGAGAATGAAAGAGAAAGAGAATCAGAATTAGAGAACAAGGCAGAGAGAATGAAAGAGAGAAAGGAGAGGGAGAGAGAGGGAAAAAAGAGAGAGGGAGAGTGAAAGAGACAGAATGAAAGAGTAAGAATCAGAATGAGAAAGAGAACGAGGGAGAGAGAATGAAAGAGAGAGAGAGAGAGAGAGGGAGATAAAGAGGGACAGTGAAAGATAGAGGGAGATAGAGAGACAGAATGAAAGAGAAAGAGGGAGAGAAACAGAGAGAGGCCCAAACCCAGCCACAATAAATAGAAAACTGAGGATAGGGTCCAACTGTAGGAAAGTTCTAGAAAATCGGCTTTTCCTGTGAGCTGGGCCAAGCTTGACAACTTTACGATTTGTGGACTTCAATACCCAGAATTCCTCAGCCAGCCATGCTGGCTGAGGAATTCTGGGTGTTGAAGTCCACCAGCTGCAGAATTCTGGAAGTTGAAGCCCACAAGTCGTGGCATTCTGGGAGTTAAAACCCACAAGTCGTGGGATCCTGGGAGCTGAAGTCCACAAGCCGTGGCATCTTGGGAGTTGTGAAGTCCACAAGTTGTAACGTTGCCAAGGCTGCAGAGACCCGTGGTATCCATCTTGAGAGACCGAATACAGGGTCGATGAGGTCTGGTGTGAGCTATTTTTCAGGCGTTGTAAGGACTAAAACAATGAGACTTTGTGGACTTATTTTTAGATATAAGAGATGGGATATGAGAACATTGGTGCCGAGTGCGCCTCAGAAGCTCCGTCGGAACGTCGGTCGCTAAACGAATGGTCGTAAGCCGAGGATTACCTCAGAAGAATCTCCCAGCCCCTCCCATTACCTGGATGGCCGGGACGAAGGTGAAATAGCCAATCAGGATGATCCCCAACTCGGTGCCCATGTTCTTCATGATGGACCAACTCTCGTTACTCAAACCTGGAAAGAGAGTGGCAAGGTTAAGGCTGGCGATCACACCGAAATGGTGGCGAGGTTAAGGCCGGCAATCACTCCAAAAGAGTGGCGAGGTTAAGGCTGGCGATCACACCGAAAAAGTGGCGAGATTAAGGCCGGTGATCACCCTGAAACGGTGGCGAGGTTAAGGCAGGCAATTACCGTGAAAGGGTGGCGAGGTTAAGGCCGGTGATCACCGTGAAACTGTGGCGAGGTTAAGGCCGGCGATCACCCCAAAACAGTGGCGAGGTTAAGGCAGGCAATTACCGTGAAAGGGTGGCGAGGTTAAGGCTGGCGATCACCCTGAAATAGTGGCGAGGTTAAGACCGGTGATCACTGTGAAACAGTAGCAAGGTTAAGGTCGGTGATCACCCCAAAACAGTGGCGAGGTTAAGGACGCCGATCAACCCGAAACAGTGGCGAAGTTAAGGCTGGCGATCACCCCGAAACAGTGGGGAGGTTACGGCTGACAATCACTCCAAAACGGTGACAAAGTTAAGGCCAGTGATCACCCCAAAAGAGCGGCGAGGTTAAGGCCAGTGATCAGCCTGAAACTGTGGCGAGGTTAAGACCGGTGATCACCCCAAAACATTGTCGAGATTATGGCCGGCGATCACCCCGAAACAGTGACGAGGTTACGACTGGCGATCAACCCGAAAGGGTGGCGAGGTTAAGGCCGACAATCACCCCGAAACGGTAGCGAGGTGAAGACCGGCGATCACCCCGAAACGGTGGCGAGGTTACGGCCGGCGAAACCTCTTCAAGGACAAAAAACACCACTCTTTTATGTACCTTGCGCGATGCGCAGCTTCACTTCCAGGTCGACCGGCGTGGACACCACCGATTTGGTGAGAACCAGCACGTTCTCGATGCCGATCACAACTACCAAGTACGGGAAAATCTCCCTGGAAGAAAAAAGGATACGGAAGCTAAACCAAACGTGAAAAACACCGGCCCGGAGCAAGCTGGGAGGAGAAAGGAATGACTTGCCGTTGTCGGACAAAAGGACTGACACATTTTTCTCAAGATGATTTGCAAAACACAAATAAAGTCGGGAGCGGCCGTTTCCAGATGTTTAAACTTGCAAAAACGGGAAACTAAACAACGGATGTCTCGGTGTCCGTAAATGTCCGCCAGGAGCTCGTTCTACAGTGGTCTGCACATCCACGAACAGAAGAGCTAAAGTGGAGTTTCCCAAATTTTCCGGTTTTGCGGATGGGAAGGGGATGGTTCCACATGAGCGGCCGGCAAGCGCATGAGCTCTTCCATCCGCGCGAGCAATGTGTGCAGCGCACTTAAATGGAGCACGCACGAGCATGTTTGCCCGCTGCTGACGCTCCTCGTCCTTTCCACTAACCCAACTCCCTTCTGGCACTGATGGTGTTACCTAGTACGGTCATGAAACGTCTGCAAGCTCAGAGAGCACCAAAGACCCCACTGTTCTCGTTGTCGTCCTTCTCTCTCTCTTCCTCCTCCTCCTCCTTCTTCCTTCCTCCTCCTCTCCACAAATCCCACTGCTTTCTAGCACTGATGGTGTTACCTAGTTGGGTCATGAAACGGCAAGAAAACCACCCAGCTCAGAGAGCACCAAGGACCCCACAGTCCTCCTTCTCCCGGCAAACCCCTCTCCTTTCTAGCACTGATGATGTTACCAAATAGGGTCATGAGACGTCCGCAAGACAACCACCAAGCTCAGAGAGCACCAAGGACCCCACAGTCCTCCTCCTCTCCACTCACCCAACTCCTTTCTAGCACTGATGACGTTCCCTAGAAGGGTCATGAAACATCTGGAAGAACACCACCCAGCGCCGAGACCACCAAGAACCCCACAATCTTTCAGCTACAGAGAGAGCTTTAATGGAATCGGTTTCCGTAAAGATGTGACGGGGATGAAGGACTCCCGGATTTAAATAGATGGTCATCTGGACTCCCTCTGAGAGTGATCTCTCGTCCGGAACCTGCTCCCAGTATCCGGCTCGCCGCAATTCAGCCCGGAACTCCCTTTCAGCAACCTACCCTCCGTTGAGTGTCGGCGTGAGTCCGAAGAGCGTGCACAGCCCGACGGACATGAGCAGGGAGCTGAGCACCGTCACGACGGCCGCCAAAGCCAGACCCCACTTGGATTTCACCATGTCGATCTTGCCTGGAGGAGGAAAACGAACAAAATTACCCATCAGCCTTCGAGTGAGAGAGGCAGAAAAGGATTCTGGGAGTTGAAGTCCACCCCTCTTAAAGCATGGTGGCTGGGGGATTGTGGGAGTTGAAGTCCACCCCTCTTAAAGCATGGTGGCTGGGGGATTGTGGGAGTTGAAGTCCTCCCCTCTTGAAGCATGCCGGCTGGGGGATTCTGGGAGTTGAAGTCCTCCCCTCGTAAAGCATTGCCTGTCCTGAACCAGGACGGCCACTAAGCTTACTCGAGACTTACGCGTGGAGAAGTAGATGTAAGCGAAGAGGATGATGTAGGTGGTCACCAGCGGGATGAGTTCGGCAACGCCGATTTCTTCCTTAAAATGGACGTGGATCATCTGGTGTTCCTGGAGGCTGCTGTTGGCGCTGGGATGTAGCAGCGTCAGCCGCGAGCGGAGGCTGGCGAGAAACCTGGAGCGGGGAGCAAGCAAACAAGCGGTCCCATCATCCACAAGGCGTGGGGGGAGGGCAGTGGTGGGATTCAGCTGGTTCGCACCAGTTCGGCGGAATCGGTAGCTAAATTCGGCTGAGTACGGAGAACCGGCTGAACGCATACTGCTTCCGGAAGTCCACTCTAAGCCTTGGAGGCCTGAAGGCGGCCTTCCAGGCTTAGAACGGCCTGCCAGAAGTGCATGGATGCCACTTCCGGAAATCCATTCTAGACCTCGGAGGCTGGGAGAAAGACTCCCAAGCCTAGAACGGCCCACTGGAAGTGCATGGATGCCACTTCCGGAAGTCCAGTCTAGGCCTTGGAGACCTGAAGGAGGCCTTCCAGGCTTAGAACGGCCCGTCAGAAGTGCATGGATGCCACTTCCGGAAATCCATTCTAGGCCTCGGAGGCCGTGAGAAAGACTCCCAGGCCTAGAACGGCCCATTGCAAGTGCATGGATGCCACTTCCGGGAATCCATTCTAGGCCTCGGAGGCCGTGAGAAGGACTCCCAGGCCTAGAACGGCCCACTGGAAGTGAATGGAACATCCGTATGCAGCGTCCAGCAGTCATGTGACCGCATTCCGAGACATTCCCGCTGAAAACGGGCATTTCTTTCCGTTTTTCGGGAAAAACCATGTCATCACAAACCATTGCTTCGCTGCAGTGATTCACTTAACGACCGTCACAGTCAGGCAGCCCAGCCATTTTATGACCGACACGAGCCACCAGCGTATTGGGCAGATTTCTTTACAGTCGTAACTTGAGGGCTAGCTGCATTTCCAGTTATGGGGAGAAATCACCCCATAGCAAACCATTGTTTCGCTTAAGGACCGGAGTGATTCACTTAACGACCGCCACAAAAAAGGTTGTCACAGAATCCAACCATTTTATAAGTGTCACGAGTCAGAACCATGATGGGAAGAGTCCGTTACCGTCATAACTCGAGGACTACTTGGGCTTTCAGTTTTTACCCAACCACGTCATAACCGACCATTGCTTTGCTTAATGACATTGATTCACTTAACGACCTCTGGAAAAAAGCTCATACAGTCACACAATCTATCCATTTTACGACTGTCCTAAGTTGGGCAGATTCCATTAAAGTCGTAACTTGAGGACTTCCGGTTTGCGGAATAGCGTACCACGGCAAACCGTCGATTTGCTTCACGACCGCAATGATTCGCTTAACGACATAATGGTCGTCAGCTCCCACGACCTGCCCATTTTACGGCCGTCACGAGTTACAACCAGGATGGGCACGGTCGTAACTTGAGGTCGTAACCTGTATTGCTAGAGTAAAATCTGACTTACATGTGGCTGGTCCAATCAGGGACAAACTCTCCAAAATGTGGGTTTTTAAGAATCGAACACCCACCACACGACAGATGGAGAACGCCACGAGGAAGGTCCCACCTGGTCAAAAGTTTCTCCAGAATGTCCCAGTTTCGGAAAGGAACTCACCTGGCGTCATAATGACGGAGACCCAAGGTGATGGCGTAGACAACCACTCGCTTCCGGTTGTAGAGATTCACCCCGCTGTACTTTCCCGGCACGCCGAACAGGAGATCTGAAGACACCAGGAGAAGAACAGGAGGTGAGTGGGAAGGACACCAAGCCATGAACAGGGTGATACAAGCATCCATCTTGAAGGACTGGCTTGGGGATCTGGAAACGCTGTTCAAAGACTGGTGAACGGTCATTGACATCCCTCCGTCTCTCCCAGTGTTTCTCAATTTCAGCAAACTTAAGGTGGGTAAACTTCAATTGGCTTGGTCAGTTGGGGGGAATTCTGGGAGTTGAAGTCCACCCATCTTCAAGTTGAGAGAGGTTGAGAACCATCCATCTTGAAGGATGTGCTTGGTGAGCTGGAAACACTGTTCAATCTGGAAATCGTGATGAACGCTTGTTGACATCCCTCCGTCTCTCCCAGTGTTTCTCAACATCCACAACTTTATGGTGGGTAGACTTCAACTGGCTTGGCTGGTTGGGGGAATTCTGGGAATTGAAGTCCACCCATCTTCAAGTTGCAGAATTTGAGAAACATCCCTCTTGAAGGATGCGCTTGATGATCTGGAGACACTGTTCAAACACTGGTGAACGCCGGTTGATGTCCATCCGTCTCTCCCAGTGTATCTCAGCCTTCCCAACCTTATGATGGGTGAACTTCAACTGGCTTGGCTGGTTGGAGGCATTCTGGGAGTTGAAGTCCACCCTCTTAAAGTTGGAGAGGTTGAGAACCATCCATCTTGAAGGACGTGCTTGGTGACCTGGAAAAATCGCTCAACTCAGAGATCCCGGTGAACGCCCGTTGACATCCCTCTGTCTCCCCCAGTGTTTCTCAACCTTCACAAGCTTAAGCTGGGTGGGTTTTAACCGGCTTGGCTGATTGGGGGAACTCTGGGATTTGAGGTCCACCCATCTTAAAGTTGCAGAGGTTGAGAACCATCCACCTTGAAGGATGTGCTTGGTGACCTGGAGAAACTGCTCAACTTGGAGATCCTGGTGGATGTTTGTTGACATCCCTCCGTCTCTCCCAGTGTTTCTCAACCTCTGCAACCTTAAGCTGGGTGGGTTTCAACCGGCTTGGCTGGTTGGGGGAATGCTGGGATTTGCGGTCCACCCGTCTTGTGGAGGTTGAGAAGAACTGGTCACTCCACCTTGTCTTCTCAAGGGTAGACTTCAACTCCCAGCATCTTCAGCTATTCGGGAATGGCGCCTACGTGGTTGCCAAAGTCCCGCAGGGTTCAGCTATCCCTACCTTTCGGCGTAGCCGACGTCTGCAAGGTCTTGGGCTCGTGCTGGTGTACGGTTTTAATGATATCGGGGTCCGCGCTGAAACGCTCCTGGTCGTTCTGCCAAAAATTCGCCGGGGAGAGGAGGAGGCAGCCATGTTCGGGGAGCAGACCCCGAAGTTTCTTCAAGCCGGGCAAGAGATCGGTCAGTTGAAGGCAGGTATCGTCCAAACTTTGAATCCGGGAACTGGGCGCCGAAAGACAGAAGGGAGAAGACAAGACGTCAAACGAGCAACGATTGTGTTATATATGTCGATGGCAGCAATACTACACACAAAAATAGAATACTTTGATTCCCACAACTGGAAAAAACTTGATGGAGTTAGTGAGAGATGGCTAAATTGTCAGCTTTGATTCAAGAAAAGAAGAAAAGGACGGACAGAGGGAGGGAGCGAGAAGGAAGGAAAGAAGGAAGGCGAGGAAAAAGGGTAGGAATGATGGAAGGAGGGAGGGAGGGAGGGAAGGAAGGAGAGGAAAAAGGGTAGGAAGGATGGAAGGACAGAAGGAGGGAGGGAGGGGGGAAAGGAAGGAAGGAAGGAAGGAAGGAAGGAAGGAAGGAAGGAGAGGAAAAAGGATGGGAAGGACAGAAGGATGGAGGAAGGAGCGAAGGAGGGAGGAAGGAAGGAAAGAAAGAAGGAGAGGAAAAAGAGGAAGGATGGAAGGACGGAGGGAGGGAGGGAAGAAAGAAGGAAGGACGGAGAGAAAAAAGAGTGGGAAGGATGGAAGGACAGAGGGAGAGAGGGAAGGAAGGAGAGGAAAAAGGGAAGGAAGGAAGGAGAGGAAAAAGGGAAGGAAGGAAGGAACGAACACAAGGCCTGGAAAACCACCCACATCTCGGGATGCTAAATCTTACACCCTGTCGGCCAAATAAAATTCCTCCAGGCTGGAAGGATGCAACCATACTTTGGACTTGCGACCGTTCATTTAGTGACCATTCGGACTTGCCACGGCCCCGGAAAACGCCACTTAAGGCCGTTCCTCCTCCTTACAACCGTTGCAGCCTCCCCAGGCTTAGCTGATCAAAATTCAGACCCTGGGCAACTGACTCGTAGTTATGACGGTTGCGGCATCCCGGAGGAGGGATATAGGTCACGTGATCCCTTTGGGTGGCCTTCCACCCGATTCCTTTAATGACCTGGGTGATTCGCTTAATGACGGGAGGGGTTCACTTCACAACGTTGGCAAGGGAGGCAGCGAAACACGGGAGCCAAACTGAATCGGCAAACGTCTCGCATAGCAACAGAGATTCAGGGCGCCTTTGTGGTCGCCAAACGAGGACCACTTGCGAAACCGCCACCCCTCCGTCGAATGTCCTTTTTTGTGTCCCTGCTGGGAGTGTGTGTGTGTGTGTGTGTAAAGAGAGGAAGCCCCGAGAAGGGGGTCCTCGTTTTCTGACGTACCCGTCTCGCAAAACGTGGTTGCGGATTTCCTCCACCAGCTGGAAGACCCGGGCGAGCGGAGAGCGGAAGACGTCGACGGGCAGGAAGGTCTTTGGCCACGGGGAAACGGTGGCTTTCACCAGGACCTGTTGGATGTAGGCCACGGGGGCTCCGGAGTACTGGAGGAGAGAAAACACACACACACACACCCAAATACGACGGGGGTGAATAGGGTGAGCCTTGCGAGGTAGACCAGAGAGAGGAAAACAACATCCCGAGGAGCTAATTCCATTTGATTCTAACGTTAAGTCCATTGAATTTGCAAGATTGGAATTCCATCTCTGCAGGGGGAGGAGGAGGAGGAGGAGGAAGAGGAGGATAGAAGTACAGGAGGAGAAAGAAGACAGAAATACAGGAGGAGGACTAGAGGAAGAGAAGGAGGAGGAGTAAAATACAGGAGGAAGAGAAGTACAGGAAGAGGATGAGAAGTACAGGAGGAGGAAGAAGAGGGGAAATATGGGAGGAGGAGGATAGAAGTGCAGGAGGAGGAGTACAGGAGGAGGAGGAGAAAGGGGAGAAGTAGGGGAAGGAGGAGGAGAGGAGTACAGGAGGAGGAGAGGAAAAGTACAGGAGGAAGAAGAGGGAAGAAGTACAGGAGAAGGAAGGGGGTATAGGAGGAGGAGGAGAGAAGTGCAGGAGGAGGAGTACAGGAGGAGGAGGAGAAAGGGGANAGGAGGAGAGGAGTACAGGAGAAAGAAGAGGAGAGAAGTACAGGAGGAGGAAAAAGAGAGGAAAAGTATGGGAGAGGGAGGAGAAAGGGGAGAAGTAGAGGAGGAGGAGGAAGAGAGAAGTACAGGAGGAGAAAGAAGAGGAGGGGAGTACAGGAGGAAGAGGGGAAAAGTATGGGAGAAGGACAAAAGTAGAGGAGGAGGAGGAGGAGGAGAGAAGTACAGGTGGAGGAGGAAGAGAGGAGAAGTACAGGAGGAGGAGGAGAAAGGGGAGAAGTAGAGGAGGAGGAGGAGGAAGAAAAGGAGACGTACAGAAGGAGAAGGGGAGAAATACAGGAGGAGGAGGAAGGTGGAGGAGGAGAACAAAGCCCCTCCCTCCCTTCCAGCCCTGATGACGTTCCCTAGTTGGGTCCCGAAACGTCTGCCAGAAGACAGCGACCCCCCCACCCCACCCTCCAAGCTCGGAGAACGGGAGGCTCTCGAGATCAACCACGATTCACAAAATGGCTCCGTCGTTCCTCCTACCTACCCAGTCGGGGCGCTCGCCGGGCTCTCCTTGCTGGCCGGCCGGGAAGGGGGGAGGCGTGGAGTAGTCCTTCACCGGGGTGGTGTACTCCACGGGCCCCGTGCCCGGAAGCGGGAGCTTGAGCAACGGGTAGCTGCAAGGGAGGGAAAGCGGAAGTCAACTCCCGAGGCCGCTCCAAAGTCCCCCTTTCTCACGTAAACGCCTGGGAATCTGTCACAGGTTCAACTCCCAGAATCCCCCAGCCGGCCATGCTTTAAGAGGGGTGGACTTCGACTCCCAGAATCCCCCAGAAGAGGGGAGGATTTCCACCCCCAGAATCCCCCAGGCAGCATGCTTTAAGATGGCTGAACTTCGACTCCCAGAATCCCCCAGCTGGCCTGCTTTAAGAGGACTTCAACTCCCAGAATCCCCCAGGCAGCATGCTTTAAGATGGCTGAACTTCGACTCCCAGAATCCCCCAGCTGGCCTGCTTTAAGAGGAGGACTTCAACTCCCAGAATCCCTCAGTCTCCATGCTTTAAGAAGGGAGGACTTCAACTCCCAGAATCCCCCAGGCAGCATGCTTTAAGATGGCTGAACTTCGACTCCCAGAATCCCCCAGCTGGCATGCTTTAAGAGGAGGACTTCAACTCCCAGAATCCCTCAGTCTCCATGCTTCAAGAGGGGTGGATATTAACTCCCAGAATCCCTCAGTCTCCATGCTTCAAGAGGGGAGAACTTCGACTCCCAGAATCCCCTAGTCTCCATGCTTTAAGAGGGGTGGATATTAACTCCCAGAAGTCCCCAGCAAGGAAGCTTTAAGACTGGAGGACTTCAACTCCCAGAATCCCCCAGTCAACAAACTTTAAGAGGGGAGGACTTCCACTCCCAGAATCCCCCGGGGCCTCTCACCAGCAGGCCAGGACGCAGAGGCCGGTGAAGAGGATGATGGGAATCGGGCAGGAGGCGCAGCGCAAGCCGTGGTTGTAGAAGGCCCCGGAGATCTTCCCTCGCAGGGAGGCAGTGCAGCTCATCCTCAGCCCGGTCCTGGGTGCCGGGTCAGCTCGCCGCCATCGCTCCGGGGTCCCGAGTGCGAAACGCCCTGCGACGAAAGCCAAACGGGAGGTTAAGACGGTCGAAGGGGGAGCTTCCCCTCCAGGGAGCCGGCAACGGGGAAGGGCCGAGCGGTTCCTCCGGCTGACGACCGACCGCTTTGAAGGGAGACACACACACACACACACACACACACACACACACACACACACACAGAGGCCGTCTGAAGTGAGAATGGCAGTGTGTGTGGGGGGGAGAAACGATCGTCTATCTTCCTTCCCTCTCACCTCCTTTCCTTCCATCCTTCCCTTTTCCTCTTTCCTTCCATCTTTGTCCTTTCTTTCCTTTTCCTCTCCTTCCTTCCCTCGTTCCTTCTCTTCCCTTCCCATTTTTCCTTCCTTTCTCTCCTTTTCCTTTCCTTCCCTTCCTTCCCTCTTTTTTCCTCTTTCCTTCCCTTCCTTTTTCCTTCCTTACTCTCCTCTTTCTTCCTTTCCCTTCCTTTCCTCTCTCCTTTTTTCCTCTTCCCTTCCTTTTCCCTTCCTTTCTCTCCTCTTTCTTCCCTTTTCTTTCCTTCCCTCTCTCCTTTTTTCCTCTTTCCTTCCCTTCCCTTTTTTCCTTCCTTTCTCTCCTCTTTCTTCCCTTTTCTTGCCTTCCCTTCCCTTCCTTCCCTCTTTTCCTCTTTCCTATCCTCCCTTTTCCTTCCTTTCTCTTTCTTCCCTTTTCTTCCCTTCCCTTCCTTTCCTCTCTCCTTTTTTCCTTTCCTATCCTTCCCTTTTTTCCTTCCTTTCTTCCCTTCCCTTCCTTCCCTCTCTCCTTTTTTCCTCTTTCCTATCCTCCCCTTTTTTCCTTCCTTTTTCTCCTCTTTCTTCCCTTCCCTTCCTTCCCTCTCTCCTTTTTTCCACTTTCCTATCCTCCCTTTTTCCTTCCTTTCTCTCCTCTTTCTTCCCTTTTCTTCCCTTCCCTCTCTCCTTTTTTCCTCTTTCCTATCCTCCCTTTTCCTTCCTTTCTCTCCTCTTTCTTCCCTTCCCTTCCCTTCCCTCTCTCCTTTTTTCCTCTTTCCTATCCTTCACTTTTTTCCTTCCTTTCTCTCTTTCTTCCCTTCCCTTCCTTCCCTCTGTCCTTTTTTCCTCTTTCCTATCCTTCCCTTTTTTCCTTCCTTTCTCTTTCTTCCCTTCCCTTCCTTCCCTCTCCTTTTTTCCTCTTTCCTATCCTCCCTTTTCCTTCCTTTCTCTCCTTTCTTCCCTTCCCTTCCTTCCCTCTCCTTTTTTCCTCTTTCCTTCCCTTCCCTTTTTCCTTCCTTTCTCTCCTCTTTCTTCCCTTTTCTCTCTTTTTCCTCTTTCCTATCCTCCCCTTTTTCCCTTCCTTTCTCTCCTCTTTCTTCCTTTTCCTTTCCTTCCCTTCCTTTCCTTTCTCTCCTCTTTTTCCTTTTTTCTTTCCTTCCTTCCCTTCCCTTCCTCTCTCCTTTTCCCCTCTTTCCTATCCTCCCCTTTTTTCCTTCCTTTCTCTCCTCTTTCTTTCCTTCCCTTCCTTCCCTCTCTCCTTTTTCCCTCTTTCCTATCCTCCCTTTTTCCTTTCTTTCTCTCCTCTTTCTTCCCTTTTCTTCCCTTCCCTCTCTCCTTTTTCCTCTTTCCTTCCCTTCCCTTTTTTCCTTCCTCTCCTTTCTTCCCTTCCCTTCCTTCCCTCTCTCTTTTCCTTTCCTATCCTCCCCTTTTTTCCTTCCTTTCTCTCCTCTTTCTTCCCTTCCCTTCCTTTCCTCTCTCCTTTTTTCCCTCCTTCCTTCCTTTCCCGTCCCTTGCTCTTTCCTTTCCTTTCTTTTGCTTTCCTTTTGGGGGTTTTCGCTTCGTTTGGTCCCGCCCAGCGGATTCTCCCGGAAATCCTTCCAAACGCTTCAGGCCCGCTTAACGCCGACTGTCGCCCGCTGAGGAACGTTACCGGTACATTATGTCCTAATTACAGCACACATAATTACATAAAGCCGACCGATCTTATGAAATGCACATTAAATAAATTAAACCAGACAAGGGTGTGTCTGACACCCTTCTTGGCAATAACAAATCAACGTTGTTACCAGACTCAATCTCAGCCACATGAAGGCGGGTGGACCTCCGCTCCCAGAATCCCCCGGCCAGCAGGGGGTTGGACTAGATGACCTCCCAGGCCCCTTCCATCTCTGTCGTTCCGTGATCCTGTAAGGGTCTCCTGCTTGAGCAGGGGGTTGGACTGGATGACCTCCCGGGTCCCTTCCATCTCTGTCGTTCCGTGATCCTGTAAGGGTCTCCTGCTTGAGCAGGGGGTTGGACTAGATGACCTCCCAGGACCCTTCCATCTCTGTCGTTCCATGATCATGTAAGGGTCTCCTGCTTGAGCAGTGGGCTGGACTAGATGACCTCCCAGGCCCCTTCAATCTCTGTTGTTCCATGATCCTGTAAGGGTCTCCTGCTTGAGCAGAGGGTTCGACTAGATGACCTCCAAGATCACTTCCATCTCTGTTATTCTATAATTCTGGAAGGGTCTCCTGCTTGAGCAGGGGGTTGGACTAGATGACCTCCCAGGTCCCTTCCAGTTCTGTCCTTCTGGGATTCTTTAAGAGTCTACTGCTTGCGAAGGGGGCTGGACTAGATCACTTCCAACTGTGTCCTTCTATGATTCTGTCAGGGTCTCCTGCTTGAGCAGGGGGTTGGACTAGATGACCTCCCAGGACCCTTCCATCTCTGTCGTTCCATGATCATGTAAGGGTCTCCTGCTTGAGCAGTGGGCTGGACTAGATGACCTCCCAGGCCCCTTCCATCTCTGTCGTTCCATGATCATGTAAGGGTCTCCTGCTTGAGCAGTGGGCTGGACTAGATGACCTCCGAGATCCCTCCCATCTCTGTCATTCCGTGATCCTGTAGGGGTCTCCTGCTTGAGCAGGGGGTTGGACTAGATGACCTCCCAGGTCCCTTCCAGTTCTGTCCTTCTGGGATTCTTTAAGAGTCTACTGCTTGCGAAGGGGGCTGGACTAGATCACTTCCAACTGTGTCCTTCTATGATTCTGTCAGGGTCTCCTGCTTGAGCAGGGGGTTGGACTGGATGACCTCCCAGGTCCCTTCCAGTTCTGTCAGTCTGTGATTAAGGGTCTACTGCTTGCGAAGGGGGCTGGACTAGATGACCTCCGAGATCACTTCCAACTGTGTCCTTCTATGATTCTGTCAGGGTCTACTGCTTGAGCAGGGGGCTGGACTAGATGATCTCTGAGGTCCCTTCCAACTCCATAATTCCATGATTCTGTAAGTGTCTCCGGCTTGAGCAGGGGGTTGGACTAGATGACCTCCAACGTCCATTTCCAACTCTGTTATTCTATGATTCCGTCAAGGTCTATTGCTTGGGAACGGGGTTGGACTAGATGACCTCCAACATCCCTTTCAACTGTCCTTCTATGATTCTGTCAGGGTCTACTGCTTGGGAAGGGGGTTGGACTAGATGATCTCCGAGGTCCCTTTCAACTCTGTTATTCTACAATTCTGTAAGTGTCTCCGGCTTGAGCAGGGGGTTGGACTAGATGACCTCCAACGTCCGTTTCCAACTCTGTTATTCTATGATTCTGTCAAGGTCTACCGCTTGGGAACGGGGTTGGACTAGATGACCTCCAACATCCCTTTCAACTGTCATTCTATGATTCTGTCAGGGTCTACTGCTTGGGAGGGGGTTGGGCTGGATGACCTCCAAGGTCCCGCCCGGCCCAAGGATTCCAGGATCACACAACTCATATTGTGTCGCAACCGTGCACCAAAATTAACAGTTTCTGAAGGACGGGTGGCTGGTCAAAGCAAGGGAGGAAGGTCAAAAGACGCAACTATCTCTTTGGAGGAACGTATTTGTGTTTATCAGCGCAGCCTTCAACCGCCTCTGGGTGCGTGTGAGTTTGTCGACAAACGGCAACAAAAACAAAGCCTTGGGAAACAGGCAGAAGGACAAAAGGGAACAGGCAAGGGACGAGAGAGGGCGAAGGAGAGGATGAATTCTGAACGCATTTGGAAAGGGTCTGGGAGGTCATCTAGTCCAACCCCGTGCTCAGGCAGGAGACCCTTGCAGAGTCACGGAAGGACAGACTTGGAAGGGACCTCGGAGGTCATCTAGCCCAGCCCCCCTGCTCAAGCAGGAGACTTACAGAATCATAGGACAGAGTTGGAAGGGACCCTAAAGGTCATCTATTCCAACCCCCCTGCTCCTGCAGGAGACCCTGCCTACAGAATCGTAGAATAAAAGAAGGGACCACAAAGGTCATCTAGTCCAGCCCCCTGCTCAAGCAGGAGACCCTTGCAGAATCATAGAAGGACAGAGTTGGAAGGGACCACAAAGGTCATCTAGTCCAACCCCCTGCTCCTGCAGGAGACCCTGCCTACAAAATTGTAGAATAAAAGAAGGGACCACAAAGGTCATCTAGTCCAGCCCCCTGCTCAAGCAGGAGACCCTTACAGAATCATAGAAGCATAGAATTGGAAGGGACCTCGGAAGTCACCTAGTCCAACCCCCTGCTCAAGCAGGAGGCCGTTACAGAATCATAGAGTTGGAAGGGACCTGGGAGGTCATCTAGTCCAACCCCCTTCTCTGTTAAAAAAAAAAAAACCTGTAAAAAACGTATCTCCAGTTTTGGGGCAATTTTTCCCCCCTGCTATTTCAAGCATTTTTGAAATTGAGAGAGCTTAAGCGGGTCCAATCCCAAATCTCAAAGAATTAGAGGCAGTCCTTGATTTACGACCGCAACGGGCCCTAATGTTTCTGTCACAAAGGGAGACATCCGGGAAGCGGGTTTTGCCCCGATTTTCGACCCTTCCTAGCCGCCGCGGTCATTAAATCAGTCACCCGGTCATTAAGACCTCCGCTGACTTTGCTCGTCCGGAGGTCACAAAAAGGGGACTGCGTCACACACACACACACGGGGACACTGCGACCATCACAACTACGAGTCGGCAGCCAAGCGTCCAGACTTTCGATCGTGGGA